TGCCGAAATGAGGTCAACACTTTAAATCTGCCGAAACGAGGCCAACACTTTAAATTTGCCGAAATGAGGCTAACACTTTAAATTTGCCGAAATGAGGCTAACACTTTAAATTTGCCGAAATAAGGCCAACACTTTATATACGTATGGGGCTTCTATACATACGATATCATAATATTTAAATGAACCCAAAAAGCCAAGAATGTCACATATTAACTGATCCCAATTTTGAAGCACATTGCTATCGCACAAGAGATAGCAAGACAAGTTATACATGCAGTCTTCATACCAAACTTGTGCTATTAATGGGATGCGAGGTCATTGCCCAAACAACGTGAAAGAAATCTAAACATTTGCAGTAGGAGATGTTTGAGAGGGGCCATGAATAAAGCTGGAAGAAGAAATCACAGGAACTATTGGAAAATAACCTATAATAAAATTTAGTGAAAAACAAGGACTGATATGGTGTGACCATTTTGTGAGAATGAATCCAGAGATGCTAAAAACGATAGCGTGCAATACAAAAGTACAAACAGCGTGTAACATAAAAGTACAAACAGCGTGTAACATAAAAGTACACATAGCGTGCAGTATAAAAGTACAAACACCAAGATGTATGGGACGACTACGAAGAATATCACAACATACTGGGCAACCGAGCGTGCCCTAGCTTAGAAACCAATCACCTGTTACCTGCAACGCCTAGCGGTACAAGGCAGAAATTGAACAAAAGAAAGAGTTATCACTTTGCAATGCTCACAAACATCAACCATTGCAAGTATTTCGGTAACATAATCAGATACAGGTTCTTGATAATCGATGCTCTAGACAAGACACGTTTAGTAAAGCACCCTTTTCTACGCTATCGCGCTCATTGAACATATATGACGCAACCTATGTTGTATTGACCAATGAGCACTTGTGGGTGATGTGATCAACATCGCACAGACCGCCTTTACCTCCCAGATTATACCTAGTACAAACTCAAGGCTGCACCGACCTTCGAGCCTAGGTAAGTTTAGCAAAAAAAAAAAAAATATGTCTGGCTCCGCCAGGACCCGAACCCATCACCTTTCGATTTACAGGCGAGCGTCTAGTCCCTAAACCACCGTGTTAATTACACAGTTGGCTGTCACTGTGTGTGAACTCACTCGTGAAGTTATCTCGATGGTTCCTCTTTCATGAGTATATACTTAATACATCTGTCGCGGGTCCCAAAGTGGATTGATGCTTTTGTGATGAGTAGGAATTTTTCTCTCAACACTTCACCTCCACCAGAGAAACTAGACTATTATCCTAGCTATGTTGATCTCAGACAAAGTCCTGGATATCCTAGAAAACAGCCATATTTGGCTTGTCATGTGAATACACAACAGCTACACTCGATACCCACAGGAGTTGGAGAAGGGATAGATACATATGAAGATGAACCCAATGAGATATCAAGATGCACAGTTAACCCCTCCGACTGTCTCCTCTCCTGGTATTAATCTGGTAATGAGCTCCCACCAAATGTAATTTTATCTAACAGTTTAGGTAAACAGGTAAGACTGAATACACTTGGAATTTAACAAACGATGTAGTATAAAACTTGACATGCAGCTTTATTTACTTACAATCATTTAAATGAAATTCACCATTTTATAATGTTTACACAAACAGTGACTGGCTGATGGTATGATAGTGATGAGATGCTTCATCTAGAAAACTGAGCACCTAGGATTAGAGTGGTGTGATGATGGTGATAAGTTTGCGAACAATGTATGGACGTAACTTTAATAAAATCTCTGACAGCCGTGGAGCACTGTCAAGCTTTTCCACCTCTTCCAGCTTCTTCCTATCTGGTTCCACCTCCTTCTCTGTCTGTTCCCAGCTTGTTCCCAGCTTGCTGATCTCCCACAATGCAGGTTCCTGCTCGTAACCATCTGGTTCTATCAAAGCAGACTGGTCTTCACCCTGACGGTTGCTCGGAACATTCCAGCAATTGCCAAACAGGACTCAACCAGCTAGAATTAATTTCTACTGTTGATCTGAGTTTGTGGCTTGCTAGCAGCACCATATTAGCTAATGTTGTGTAATATTAACCAAAGCTTGGTTGTTTTGTCTGGGCTACGGACTGGAAATAATTTTTAACAATTAAGTAATATTCCGGCTTGGGGCATAGTAAATATAATTCTTTGTCTCTCTTTAAACAGAATGAATTATTACACGTACCAACTTCTGAAAACACTGAGGTCGTTTTGTCACCACAACACAAACGGAGACTTAAAAAAAAATCTACTTTCATCATGCAAGGACAGTTTAAAAAGTATTTAGCATGTTTTAGAGAGTATTTAGTAACCAGTTTGAAATAATCTTAAACATTTGCTCTAATAAAATATACCGATGCTTTGACACAGAGGACGCCTCTGTACAAACCTACTTCGAGAGTGAGTTCTGTAACTTGGCTCACATTGGCTCCTGTTGTCAGTCGTGGAAATTCTAGCAGATAGAAACATGTCATATTGTGGGAACCACACACACAGCTCTGTGGACAGATAGACGATAAACGTGACACGACTTACTCAAACCTAGTGTAAAGATGAAGACGTCTAGAATACTTAAAGAGCTAGTGGAACAGAACAATATCAGTATCGTCTTGTGCCAAAAGTCTTTTGTAGAACATTGCTTTAATCACAAACCAAAGGATATATTCTCGATTCTGTGTCTGTCCAACTTATGTGTACATCTGAAATGCGATTTATTGCATGCGTATTTATTGACAGGTGTTACCAGTTAAGTACGACAACCCCTACCTCTTCGGTCAGGTAACACGCTTTTCATTTACCTCTGTTTAATATGGTGTACAAACAGGCTTACTGGTTATAGTCGAAGTAAGTTTTACTCTGAGACAATAGTTAGCCGTTGCAGTCTCCCCTCCTAGACTAAAAAGATATAGTTCTAGTGTCCAGCTTCTGAGTACATGATGCGACAGGGAGCTACCTAGCTGAGTACATGATACGACAGGGAGCTACCTAGCTGAGTACATGATGCAACAGGGAGCTACCTAGCTGAGTACATGATGCGACATGGAGCTACCTAGCTGAGTACATGATGCGACATGGAGCTACATAGCTGAGTACATGATGCGACATGGAGCTACCTAGCTGAGTACATGATGCGACATGGAGCTACCTAGCTGAGTACATGATGCGACATGGAGCTACCTAGCTGAGTACATGATGCGACATGGAGCTACCTAGCTGAGTACATGATGCGACATGGAGTTACCTAGCTGAGTACATGATGCGACAGGGAGCTACCTAGCTGAGTACATGATGCGACATGGAGCTACATAGCTGAGTACATGATGCGACAGGGAGGTACATAGCTGAGTACATGATGCGACATGGAGCTACCTAGCTGAGTACGTGATGCGACATGGAGCTACCTAGCTGAGTACATGATGCGACATGGAGCTACCTAGCTGAGTACATGATGCGACATGGAGCTACCTAGCTGAGTACATGATGCGACAGGGAGCTACCTAGCTGAGTACATGATGCGACAGGGAGCTACCTAGCTAAGTACATGATGCGACAGGGAGCTACCTAGCTGAGTACATGATGCGACATGAAGCTACATAGCTGAGTACATGATGCGACATGGAGCTACCTAGCTGAGTACATGATGCGACATGGAGCTACATAGCTGAGTACATGATGCGACAGGGAGCTACCTAGCTGAGTACATGATGCGACATGGAGCTACATAGCTGAGTACATTATGCGACAGGGAGGTACATAGCTGAGTACATGATGCGACATGGAGCTACATAGCTGAGTACATGATGCGACATGGAGCTACATAGCTGAGTACATGATGCGACATGGAGCTACCTAGCTGAGTACATGATGCGACATGGAGCTACATAGCTGAGTACATGATGCGACATGGAGCTACATAGCTGAGTACATGATGCGACATGGAGCTACATAGCTGAGTACATGATGCGACATGGAGCTACATAGCTGAGTACATGATGCGACAGGGAGGTACATAGCTGAGTACATGATGCGACAGAGAACTACCTAGCTGAGTACATGATGCGACAGAGAGCTACCTAGCTGAGTGCTTGGTGCGACAGGGAGCTACCTAGCTGAGTACATGATGCGACAGAGAGCTACCTAGCTGAGTACATGATGCGACAGAGAGCTACCTAGCTGAGTGCTTGGTGCGACAGGGAGCTACCTAGCTAAGTGCTTGGTGCGACAGGGAGCTACGGATTTAATTTGGAATGCCTTTCGAATGTGCCCAGTTTGGTTTATTAGAAAATGCAGATTAAAATATTGCGTAGGTGGGAAGGCTGGATCTTTTGCCAGAACTGGTGGTGCCTTGTGAGAATAATTGCGTGGGCAGCTATTCGTGGGGGTGGTTGGTGCCACAGTGAAATATAGCACTAAACAGAGCCTGTAAAATATGGAACATGACTGCATGCAAAGCCGTTCGCTTGAGAATTACTGTAGTCAGCATAAATCCAAGCAAAGATAACAATAGACACAGACAAGTTATTGAAAATATAATATGAATCGTTTGCTTGTAAAAGTAATTTCCTAAACTGGCGGAAGCTGTCACAATGAAGACTAACAATTTAGCGCGATGTAAATAATGCATCATGTGACAAATGTCAGACGTCCGTGGTAAGCTCCAGGTTAATTTTGAACCTGCGTTGGCTAGAGGCCCAGCATTTAGAACACATGTGATTTGCGTAGTTCCATTTGTATTTCCATTGAAATGATTCGTAGTTTTTGCTTCGTTACATGTTGATTGAACTTAATGATACACGCAGTAACACGTGCAACGTATTATTTGTGTCCACATTTGTTTTCAAATCACAAACATTGTCTTATACATAGTTATTAAAAATATCAACCATAATAAAAAAAAAAACAAAGTTATCTAACTTACTCTGTCATTGTAAGGACAAACCAGAGCCAACGTCTGTACGACACACATGGCCACAGTAAACAACACAATTTGGTGTTTCATAGATTTCACCATCTTTGTAGCTGCACGTCTATCTGATCAGGCATGCACACATAATAAGTCAGCAATTAATAAACTTGTGATAATTTTTCCCCCACTTTCCCTAGTATGTGTTACTGCTGGTCTCTGCGATTTTGGTGTCTTCTATCTAGGACATATAACATAAAGCATACATTTTCGCTTTCATATTTCAATTCATATAATATTATTCACTTTTGGGGGATTACTGGTTTAGTTTAGTTTAGCCTGGTGTACACTCATATGTGCTCTCTTCTACTTCTCAGTCAAGCCTGAGTCTGGAGAATCTCAGCGCAGTGCACGAACACCCGTTGCACCGACGAGGATCCTGAAAAAATTTTTTTTTTGTGTGTTGGGGAGGGGTAGATGGTTAACTTCACATTTTGCACGGGCAGCAACGTTAGTATACTCTTTTCGACTTCTAACTGCCAAGATATTTTTTTTAACGTGCGCAAAAAAAGTCTTGTCTTACTACCCAGAAATTATGTAAAATTACTAGAAGTCCACGTGAAAAAATCCCACCCTTCACTGGGGCTTGAACCCGGGAACTCCAGCACTTGGGGCGGATACCAAGCCTTGGGACCACGCAGCCCGCACTGGGTTTAGTAGACTCGCGTTATCGCAGCCCTAGGACTAAAAATCCATACGCGAGGGACATAGATAATAAAAATAATCCAGTCAAGGAGTAATCTGGTTTCTCTTGATGGTACCCCAATCCAAGACGTGGAGTCATGCACCTATAGGGGCAGTACTGTAAAGTTGAAGAACAATGACATGGAATTTGACACACATCGAGAAAACCTGAGAAAAATTTTTACTACAATGTCTTTGCACGAAAACTAAAATGGACATAGAAATATTGGCAGTCCACACACACAAAAAAAGGGTATAAAAACAACAGATGTAGATGACATGAGGTGTACTGCACGCAATAACGAAGGACAGAACAAAGTGAGTGTGAGTTCTTTGATGACCTTTGCGCCATATATATATATATACAATGATATAGAAAACCCGACGGTCCAGAAGTAATGACAAATAATTGGACTAACTTTGCCTAGAAAAACCACAACAGCCAATGCTGGGGTCGGTTCTGCAACGTCCTGTAAAGGATACGCATCTAACATCCTGATGTAATTTTTCTAGGCAAATTTACGTCCAATAGTTCGCCATTGCTATCTGGACGGTCGGGTTTTCGATACTATTGTCGAAACCAATGCAAGGCGCAAGGCACGCAGCTGGGATCGAACCCGGCACCTCGCTTAAGGAAGCTCAAGGGCATTATCCCAGCCACAGACGCCGACATTTATATATATATATATATATATATATATATATATATATATATATATATATATATATATATATATATGCATATTTTAAATTAGAGAATGATCTGCACAATTTAAATGTCGCTGCTATCTCTCTATAAAATGATATCAGAAACTGGCGGTTTATTTTAGCGATGTCGCGATGTGACCCTCCATAATGACTAGACCACTTTTTGTCTAAAGTAGGCGACACAATCTCCCTGGTTGCACTGCTCTGTAAATAGGGCGTTAGCGCTGTTAGTCAAATTCGGGCTACTTGGGACGATCCAGGGGGCGATAGGAGCCTCGGTTGCAGTTTGGAGCAGTTAAATAGCATAAAGTAGCCGTGGATGCAAAGAAGAAATAGAAAAAGTGAAACCATTTTTTCATTATTATCTATCCTGGCTAATAAGTTTTGTGTTTGTGTGTGTGTGTGTGTATGTGTGTGTGTGTGTGTGTGTGTGTGTGTATGTACATGTATATGTGTGCTTAATTATAAACAAGCCCCAAAATTTTTTAACATACACGCTATTGAAAATCGCAGGTTGTGGATATGCATGATCGTCAATGCCAGTCGGTTAGGCACCTCGTTATGATATTCGTGTGTGTGTGTATATCATCAATCGGTCTGTTCCATCCATAATATCGCCCTCGTTACGGCCCGCTCAAAAGTCTCTGACTGACTGACTTTCTACCCCACCAGGACATCACACAAGCGATAAACACCCGATGACGCAATGTGCCACCATGTGGGTGAGGATCACCTTAGAGAGGTCACAGAAACCGCGTTCAGCCTTTAGACCATATTTATGGCCAGGCTATATTGTGGTCCCTGGCAAAAGCCAGAGTGATGTTTCAAAAAACAAAATATTTCATCCTAATAAGGACGAGTACTATGTTGATAAAAGTCTCTCTTTCTGTAGCCAATTATTATCTAGCCGTTTGTGCTTTCACAGTCAGTATAAAGTCGTTGTGTTCTATCCAATTCTCCGAGGACGACGTTTACCGGAAAGTGTGTCATTGATTTATCCAGACAACCCTGATGTTGATTAACATGGTAAAAATTCTTTCATCTCTCTGAATAAGGGGCTGTTTATGAGCCAGTTCTCCTCGATGTTCAGATCATGTAGGCTAATTAACACGTTGATTT